CCAATTTCTTTTTTTCAAATTATGCAACTGATAAAGGTAATAGGTGCAAGTTTTGTCCATTTATTATATACAAAATTTAAATCACGCAACTAATAAAGGTAATAGCCACAATATTTGACCAAAATTATTATGTACATTAATTACATTAATTTAGTTGGGATTTTTTTAATTTTGGCCAAAAAAATTACCCAATTTAGTAAATTTGAAATTTTAGACGGGAAATCAAATGTTTATTTACTGATTTTAAGTTACTATTTTAAGTAAATATCATTGCATCTTTATATATTAATAGATGGACTAATTCTTATTGCGATAATTGGCATGATTTTGGGCAGGAAATTTTTTCGTCTATATTTGGCATTTAATTAATATTATTTATTAGCAAATCTTATGCATGAAAAACATATTTAATTTTTATACACTCAATGACTATTACTCATTAACTACAAATTGGCTTAAATTGAAATTGTGATCGTAGATTTATTAGATATATTTTCAATAAGATTCAATATTAATTAATAGTAATTTATCGACGCAATTCAAAAAATTATTATGGAAATTGATCTGATTAAATATATTATTATCTATAGTTGTAGGTACTACTTTAAAGTGTATATGTGACACAGTTATTCGATGATAAAGTGTATAATTAATAAACTGCGAAAACGAAGATAATTAATAAACTGCGAAACAGTTATGTGAAATAAAGTGTGAAACAATTATGTGATATGTGACACAGTTATTCGATGATAAAGTGTGACGCTATGCGACATATAGACGAAGATAATTAATAAACTGCGAAACAGTTATGTGATATGTGACACGCAGGAGAAAATAAATGAAGAAACAATTATGTGAAGATAATTAATAAACTGCGAAACAGTTATTCGATAAAGTGTGAAACAATTATGTGATATGTGACACGCAGGAGAAAAAAAATGAAGAAACAATTATGTGATACCCTATGCGACATATAGACGAAGATAATTAATAAACTGCGAAACAGTTATTCGATATACTATACGATAAACTATACGACACTTTCGGGGAGAAGTTTTTTACAAAAATTTTTACATTTCAATTGCTCTTCCAACAAGTTCTTGTGAGCATTCAACTTCAAGAAACAAACCTTATGAAAATGGTAGTGGTTTAGCATCGTGTTACTCAAAAAATTTGCAACCATCTGTATGCATTATTTATGTTAAACGAGCAAAAGAACATAGAACTTCAAACCTTGGAGAAAGAAAGAAAAGAATGATTCTTTTTACTCGTAGAATATGAGCATAGAGACTCTGGATTTCTTTGTTTTAAAAAAAAAACATATATAATGTAAATATTTGTACAAACAAATTAATCTAAAAAATATATAATTTCAATCCTTAAATAATGAAAGAACGTAGTTTCAAAAAACAATAAAAATCCTTACATTTCTCATATCACAACGATTATACATTCGAGTTGGATTTTTATATGTATTCAATGTTAGCATATCTGATTGCAATCCATGAAAACCCATATGAGAAATTGGTGTTCGACTACTAAATCCACTCAAACATTTTCAGGCTTCAAGTTATACATGTGTAATTGGAGATTTTGAGTTGGAACAACTAGGGCGTATGAGAAGAGGAATTGAAATAATACATGAATTGGGCTTTTCCCTTTCTTTGTCTTGAACTGGACTTTTCCGAAAAGGCTCGGACTGAGCCTGACTACACGTAATGAAAGGGGAGGACTTGAAGTTTTGTAGCCAACAAGACGTGTCTTTTAATTCGGGCGACCTGAAATTTCTTTTATTCGTATTCATTTTTTAATCCGACGAGTCAGGTCAATATTTTGGTGTCGGAGGTGGAACCCGTGTTTCAATTTGCAAAACTCCAAAAGTTTGTATACTTAATTGCTAATGTATAAAGGTTGTGATTGCAATGCAAAAATTTAAAAGGTGGTGCTTTGATATGCAATTTTGTATGTATACTATTTAATTACTTATTTTTTCCTAAAATCTATTATCATATCAAATTTTATTATTTCAGTATTAGATTTTAAAAAATATACTAAGACTATTTCTTTTTTCTTTTCATATATATTGAGAAACATTTACTGTACACCAATATTATTTTATAAAATTTAGATTTATATCATTTTATTAATCAAACTTAGTCAAAATTATGTAAACACATGTAAAATTAAATGTTGTGCATGCTTAACTTAAATTCTTATTAAATTTACAATATTATAAATTTAGATAAATAACTCGTTAGTAGTCTGTTTAGCCCAAAGTCTCTAAAGTTATAGACAGATCCATATACTGCTAGACCTTTTAAATTAGGTTTATTCACAACACGTTTGTTTCTAGTCACACCCACGCAAAAAGCTCGATGGCCGATGCACATATCGGTTATCAAAGCACACAATCAGTATTGCCAATGGCTAAGAGCCACCAACAACATTGCACCCGAGTGAACGACCCAGTCAGGGAATGGATTATTTTGTTCCCATTGTACAACAATTGAATCCTAACTTTACTATGGCTAGTCCGAAATTGTTAGGGGCAATTCATAGCTATTTTACATCTTTGGTATACTTTTTGAAATTTTTTACAAAAATACGATATTCAAAATTAAATCATACATAAATAATTAATAAATTAGTTATAAACCATGAAATTAATGAAAAAAAGAGCTAAAAAAATCAGCCCATTAATAAACTAAAAAATTTAGTATAATTATAATCAAAGAAAAAACTATTTAATAAAATTGTAAAATGAAATTTAAATATAAATGCTGTAAATTTTTAAAGGCGAATTTTCAACTTTACCACGTGATTTGAAAAATTGTAATTGTACGATGGGCCAAATCTTAATTGCATCTTTACAAATTTCATGACATTTAATTGTAAAGATGCAAGATATCAGTTACCAAAACAAATGCAACGCCTCCCCTAAATTGCGCAGGTTATGGAATCTTGGATNGTATATAGTTAGGTTATATATCCTACAAATTAGGATGTTGTTTAAATACAAAATACAAAGAAAAGGAATTTGAATTTCAAACTACATTATCTTCCGAATATACACAAGCTACACGATCGTGAATATTAGTCGATGTTGATGAACAATCGCTGAAAAAGATACGAAATCAAACATGTATTTTTCTTGTCGACACTTTTTTTGTTTTAATTTATTCCAGCTCATTGTTTTTATTCTATATATTAACCGTATATGTTTATTGAATATAGACTTAGCATGTACTGAACATAAAACATATAGTTGAAATGACAAAACATCAAGTTGTGAACTTCCACATAACATATACTTAACTTATATACATATACATATCATATACTGGACATAAGCATACATTTTGTAAAGGGAGAAAACCAGTATGTTGTGAAACATAATTTTGTTTTAATGAATATATACTTGGCATATACTGGACATAAAACATATAGTAGAAAGGGACAAATGAAAATGTTGTGAACTTATACATAGCATATACTGAACTTATAAACATATGTATATCATATACTGAGACGCAAACTCAATCTCTTGTGAGAAGAATTTCTGACCTGCTGTAAGGACTTCGTCTGACTTTGGTTTTTGCCATGGTTTGTTTTGCTTGAAGGTTATGTTTGCAGTTATGGAGAAAATGTGTTGACTTAGTGGGTGGTTAATAAATTGTGGTAGAAAGATTTTCTTACCATAAAAATAGGGAATGAGTTTTTTGGAAAATTGCCTCTTTCCATAACTCTCGCTAATTAGTGATTAGATAAGTCAATCAGAGATTAAGTAACTTCTCTAGAATATGTGCAAATAATATAAAAACTCTAGTTATTTTTGTGATAATTATATGAATGGTATAATTATGTAATAAAAACTTAATGATCTAGAGGGTAATTTTCTAGACTAGCTTTTTGGATCGAAAATAGGTTACTTGACAAGTTCTCTCTCTCTCTCTCTCTCTCTCTCTCTCTCTCTCTCTGCTTCCCCCTTTTCCCCCTTTTATCTCTGTCTTACTCTTTTAGCACTGGTTGGCCTTCTCTAGCGGGCCGTCGGGCTCCCAACGGCGGCCACCCCTTGGCCTCGCGACTCTCTCCCTCTAGAGGCCGATGTCGAGCTTCTAGCGCCAGTTGGGCGGGCCGAACGACTGTGCCCATAAGGGTTTCGCCAATTTCCCAGGTTGCCTTATTGTGTTGGAGGTTGTCGATATGCTGGGCGGCGTGGCGGAGGAAGGCGTTGGTGGTCAAGTGGGACTAGGTGTGGCTCCGACGGCTTGTTGGTCTGGTTGGGGCTGAGGAGAGTGGGCTCTCCTCCTTGTCCCCTTTGCTCTTGGTGCGTGGGCGAGGGGATGACCGGCGTGTCGGGCCTGGTCATGGTTTGGGCTGCGCTTGGGGTGGTGGTGTAGTGGTGGGGGTTAGTTCGATTTTTTCCAGCTAAAGGGTAGGGTCGGTCGCCTGGGCGTGGGGTCGTCTTCGTGGGTGTTGGCTCAGTTAGCTTTTTGTGGCAGTTTCTGAATCTAAGACTAGGGACGAGATCTGGGCCGTATAGGTTGTCGGCCTTAGATGCCGTTGTCGTTGTTTGCTTGGTGTGTTTACTATATGTGAGAAGAGCTTTTGTCTGTTTTCAGTTTATTTTTAGTTTGTGTTGGTGTGTAGTAAGTGTTTTTCTGTGCTTTTTGTGTTTTTTGGTTTTTATTATCCCTTTGGGATCTATTATTCTCCCGTTGGGAGTATATATTATCGTGGGTGTGTTGTTGTAGTCTAAGATCTCGTATAAGATATCCTTCGACTAGATTCGTCTTCTGACCGAGTTCTAAATGTAATTATGTGTTGTATTCTCTTTCATAAAGGCCTATGTTCNAAAAAAAAAAAAAAAAAGTGTAATTTTCTCTTTCTCAAAATTCATTTGACGAGGCTAAGGCCTAAAGTGTGATCCAGCCATAAGATCCGGCCCACCAAAAGTCCAACTATATAACAAGACGGTGCGTCCGGAACTGGACCGTTGTCTTCCTCTCATCCTTATTTCCTCGACCGAATGCATCTCTCTTATCTTCTTATTTATCCCTTTCTGTCTCTCAATGCATAACAATTAACATGTTCTTCTCCAAGGTCTCTGTGTGACTCCTTACCATCATTAATCAACTACAGTGAAATCAAGTAGCTTCAGAAGAATATGTACCGAGAATTTGTGTCTGCAATTTAATGAGAGTACTCGGAGAGGGATGTCGATGTCGTGCCTGTTGCCACAGTTCAAGTGCTCGCCAGACACTTTTGCTGTTAACTTCAAGTTGCAGAACCATTCTTTTGCGCACTTCTGTAAGTCATTGCTTTCTCTCTTTCTGTTCTAGGGAGAATCTAGGTTTAAGATTTTGGTTTCCTATTATTTTCGTGGAATTGTAGCGTCTATAGTTGTTGAGAGCGTCATGCCGTTTGGGTCAGACCATTACCATATAGATCTGGGCATTTCTCGCAAAAACATCCGATGGTTCTGGTTCTGGTTAGAGCTATGTTTATATTCTAAAGTAATATGGAATCAGTGCTTTATGACAGTGGTTTTAATTTTGATCAATCATTTAATGCAGCAAGAAAGAGAGACGCTCTCAATTTCCAGGCACAGTGTGTCTTATCTGTTGCATCAGCTCCAACACTGACTTCATCAACTACACTGCTAGAGCTTGAGGAGCTTCAGTTATCGCCATTTGAAGCTATTCCGAATTCTGTTACTGCTGATAGACCATGGACGGCAGAAACTTCAGCATCAAAAGATGTGATACTCGACTTGGAGAAGTTGTCTTCTTTGGATACTCATCCAATTAATATTGCTGCAAACAATCCATTAACATTTACTGGATCAATTGGACAACTTGCTGAGGTAGTGTTTCTATATATTAGGCTATAACAACAGTTGTATGTTTTAGATAGAAACAACAGAATGTTTATTCCACTTGGAAGCGCTTTCTGTGTCTCTATGTTTGTGTGTTCAGTTAAGAGAAAATGGTAATAAGAAATGGATGTGGATGATCTTCATGGTTATTGTTTTAACATATTTGAAATTTGTGTGTTGGCTCTAATGAGAAAATGCTTTGTACTTTGCGCTTCGCTCTCTTATCCCATTCAGGTCATAGGCTAGAAGTCATATTCAATCTTCTTCTTTCACCAATTATTCTTCATCCTTGACCTTGAGCACCATATTGTTTAAGCATTTGTTGCTGTATATGTCAGATGTAGAAAAATCAGTGACTTTAAGCATCTTTCTAATTTTGTAAAAGATCTCAATAAAACTGGCTGGCCATCACTGGTAACAGAAAATGTATATGCAGGTAAGTCTTGGAGCAAATTTTAATCGGGAGACTATTCTTACAAGTGAAGAGACCATCATCAATGCTGCTGCATCCGAAGCTCTTGCTTTAGCTAAGGCTGCTGTAAGGGTAGCAAAAGATGCAGCGATGATGGTCGGACACCGTAAATCAATAAAGTCTGATAGTGCCAATTTAGAAACTTTACCTGAAGTAGTTACAACATTGATTGGCAATAATCATTTCTCAGAAAGAGTAGATTTCGGAGAATCCAAAGTTGCCGAAATAGGGTTAGGGGAAAATTATTCGGCCTCTCAACCTATTGAAGGATCTGATTATGTGGATCCTAGTGCAGAGGAACTTGAATTTCTTGAGGCACAACTCTCCAAGAGCATAGCTGTTAGGTCAACGCGCCAAAAAGAGAGAAAGGCCAGAAGAAGTCGGGTGGACAATAAGTCGGCTGCCAACACTGTGCCCATGAAATCAGGTTCGTTGAGCCGGAAGAAGCGCTCTTCTGTGCAGGAAGTGAATTATTCAGATCCCCTGCGTTATTTGAGAGGGATCGCGAGTAATTCTAAGCTGCTTACTGCTTCTGAAGAGCAAGTGCTGTCAGAAGGCATTCAGGTGACTTTAGAGATGGTTTGATTGTGTGATTACTTTTTGTTTATTCTTTAGATCTTTTATTCATTTCTTCTACTGATGAATCATATTATAGACTTTATGGAGCTTATTCTGTTTTTATGATCAGAGCTTGTTGATTTTGTTTTGTCGTGTCTTGCATACATCCCTTGCTTATTCTGGCACCTGATATTTAGAGGTGGGTTTCCTGCAAAGAGCAGCTAAAGTTTTAGTTTCTCTGAACATTAAGAAACTTTGTCATATCATAAACGTTATGGAGCTTATTCTGTTTTTATGATCAAAGCTTGTTGATTTGTTTATTCGTGTCTTCTGTACATCTCTTGCTTAGTCTGGTACCTGATATTTAGGAGGTGGATTTCCTGCAAATAGCAGCTAAAGTTTTAGTTCCAGTGTGAACATTCAGCAACTCAAAGCTCAAGCCTCTGGAAACCCAATATCTTAAAGTTTGTTGTTTCAAAAGAAAGGACTTCATGGACCTTTAGAGCTAAGTGAAGTTGAGGAGGAACATTGCAAATTCCTCTTTGCTTGATATGGGTTTTGTCATTTACATTTATTCAGAATACCTTTCATTTGGTTTTGCCAATCACAATTCAAGAACAACCTTATTCAGTTCTATGTACATATTTTTCAGATTTCTTGAAAAGAACTATTAAGTTATCAGTGGTGGATTGAACTCACAAATTACTGAAGTTTCTTTGCAGTTTTCAGTTCCTGTATCTGTGGCTATGCAATTACTTTGAGCCCCTGTTTGACTGATTTGTGCCCTTTCTGTTCCTTAACATATATCCACTATGCATGCAGGTTCTACTGAATTTGGAAAGACTTCGTGAGGAGTTCTCACAGCGTTGTGGTGGTGAGCCTACTTTTACCCAATGGGCTGCAGCTGCTGGTGTTGATCAGAAAACCTTGAGGCAGCAAATAAAGTACGGTGTACATTGTAAAGATAAAATGGTAAAGAGCAACATACGTCTAGTTATTTCCATTGCAAAACACTATCAGCGAGTTGGATTGAGTCTTCAAGATTTGGTTCAGGTATGCATCATTGTCAAATTTGATATAATTAGTTATGGGGATAAGTACAAAACCTACCCCCTTAGCATAATACAAAAAAGAACGAAGAAAAATGTAAAGTAGTTCTCTTTCAGAATTACATATGACATTTTGATGTTTGCTTCTACTTTGCAATTCCCAACCCTCAAGTGGGAGGTACTTGCAGTTTTGATATATCATTGGGTCAAATTTGTAATTAGGCTAAATTATAATCTTTGTAATTTACAGATCCATTATCTTATTACTTGTGCTTTTCAATCTCTCCCCCCAGGAAGGATGTCGAGGCCTTGTCAGAGGTGCAGAGAAATTTGATGCGTCAAAAGGTTTCAAGTTTTCTACCTATGCTCACTGGTGGATAAGGCAAGCGATACGGAAATCCCTCTCTGACCAGTCAAGGACAATTAGACTACCCGTAAGATCCTACATATTTTTTCTGCCATTACTCTAGCAAGTGTAAATGACAGCATAAGATATATTTCAAATTTGGAAAAAAGCACCTTCTCAGAACTTAACTTTGCTCCTCATGCTTGGCACAAACAGCACCACATGGTCGAGGCAAGTTATAAAGTGAGAGAAGCAAGAAAGAAACTGTACAGCGAGAAAGGTAGACTACCAGACGACGAAGAACTTGCTGAGGCCACAGGGCTTTCCGTGAAACGGGTTTCTGCCGTCAAATTGGCGCCAAAAGCTACAATATCCCTCGACCGGAAAGTCGGGTTCAACAAGGACCTCGACCTCTCGGTATTGTCCTTCATGCAAAAATCACTTTCCATATGCCAGAAAATAACCTTTCCAGTTTAGGGTTAATCAAGCAATCATAGAAAAATAACCATGCAGTAACACTTACAGAAAATAAGCCGTGTTTCTAAATTACAAGGACCCTTTTGGTATTCACTCCTATCTAAGGGGCAATTTGTAATTTTATAGATTATTGGTTTTATTTTCTATAATTATGCCAAACTTCAGGGGTCCTTTCGTAATTAATACGTCTATGTACTCTGTTGATATGCTTCCTGACCTCTCTCTCTCTCAGGAAGTGATTGCGGATCCTGAAGCAGAAACATCTGAGGACTTGCTCCTTAAGCAGTTCATGAAACAGGATTTGGCCAAGGCTTTAGACAGTCTGAGGCCAAAAGAGAAGCAAGTTGTAAAGTGGAGATTCGGTCTAGAAGATGGTAGAATGATGGCTTTGCAAGAGATTGGGCAGCTTATGGGTGTGAGCCGGGAAAGAATCAGACAAATCGAGTCCTCGGCTTTCCGGAAGTTGAAGAACAAGAAGAGAAACATGCACTTGCAGCAGTATGTTAGGCTGCAACAACAATGACGTTTATAGGCATCAACTTTCATTTTAATGTCTGTTTGATTTATGTTAGAGAAGCATGAAAAATTTTATTAAATGTTTTTTATTTGTTTACCGTGTCAACCTCGGCATTCTCTTTTCTGGTTAGGCCTAGGCAGCATTGATTGTGCTACGAATAGTTTCCGAATCTCTTTCGAATAGCAGTACATATTTTGTATTGGCATATGATAACTGATTAAGGTCAATTTTGGTTTATGAAAGTGAAATTAGATTGTTGTATGTTCTTGTACCTTTTCATTTTTGTCGACTTTGGATGTTTATTATTTTATTTTTAGAGCATGCAAAAAATTAATTTTTGCTTAGTCATAACTATATATTCTAGGCCTTGAATTATGTGAATAAATTCAGGAACTGTAGTACGAATAGTTTTCGAATCACATGTGAGCAGTACATCTTTTGTATTACATATGATTACTGATCAGGTTAATTTAGTTTTATGAAAGTGAAACTACATTGTTGTAATGTTCGTTTACTCACTTGATTTTTCGTCTTTTTTCGTTGAAATCCAATACTTTTTTTTTTAAACGAGTATCTGAAACTTAATGAATGACTTTTTTTTTTAACATAATAGTTAGTTAAAGTTTAATTATATTTTAAATTATTATATTATTTAATAGTTATTACTAATACTAGCGAATTATAATTCACACTAAATGATATATGGAAGTTTAATAAGTATAAAAAATGATATTGCAAATATTTTTTTTTAAACTATTTATTTTTCTTAACCATTTTTTTTAATAAGCTAATTGGCTTTGGTGGTATGACCAAACCTCTTAAAATTTCATAAATAATAATAATAATAATAATAATAATAATAATAATAATAATAATAATAATTTTTAAGATAATTATTAGGTCAGGATCCTTCAAATTTATAAAAACTACATTATCCATTTAATTTTATGCAATCAATATTGTGATGAAGTTAAATATTTTTATAATGTCCATTTTTACTAAGGTCAAAATTTTTAAAATGTGGTACTATTATCTAACTTATAATTTTAATATTATACACATATATAATTTATAATAATTTAAGTATCTGTGAATATGCACAAGATCGAATACTAGTTAAAATCTAAAATTTCAGCCAACAATAATTAATGTAACAACTCAATTATATATATGATACATATTATTAAATAACTTTCTATTTCGTTGTTATATTATATAAAAAGTTTATATTATTTTTATGTAATTTGTGCATATGCACAGGATGGATTATTAGTAATTACTTAAACATGTAGGTAGTAGATATGCAGGTACATATTTTATCATCTAAATAAGCTAATCTAAAAATGTATTAACATTTGGTCACAAGGGTAAGTGCAAAGTTTGAATGGCAATACTATCTATCTATCTATCAACATTGATGTTCTTAGTGGTGGTTATTAAATTCACATTCATACTGAAATCAATTCGCTTTATATAAATTCAACTCATTAAAGATTAGGGGTAATGATTTTCCAGTTATCACGAAAATCATTGGATAAAACGAGTACTCAAACCTCAACAATCACCATCCTCAGAAACATTTTGAGTACACCCAGCTGAGCTGACCAAAAAAACAAAAAAAGGCTCATTC